TAAACCTTTTTCTGAGTTACGGTATTTTCTTATTTTGATGTTTTGAGTTCTTTTGTGTTTAGCACAATATTTACTAAGTTTTAAAGTATCAAATTGAATTTTTGTTCAAGAAAAATCTTTTAAATGCGACTGTAGATTTTTTCCCCAAAACTTTGTCTTCAAAATAAGGGTGCGTCTTATATTCCGAAAAATATGGTATATAAGCCACTTTTTACAACAAGGGATTGAATAAATAATGTATGCTAAAAATATAATAAAACTAATACTAATGTCTTACGATAAATATTATTAATTCTAATCATGCTTCGCCAGCTTAGAAAAGGCGTTCACCATAACAATTGCCCCCCTCCCCCAGTGGCCCAGTGATAAGTTAGCAGACTTAAGACGCTAAAATCTGGTTTCGATACCAGTGATGGACAGCGCACAAATAGCACATTGTGTTGTTTGTGCTTAACAATAACCAAACTATAACCATTGCCATTGCAAAAAATATAATAGGCTTAATACTAATGTCTTATGACAAGTAAAATTATTAAAAGCTACATTGCTAGAAAGGACTATTACAGATATTTAAAAACATTGAAATTATATTGAGGGTTAATTGCACTTTATAAGAACAATGTTACAAGTTCTGTGCTTTTCTAGGGACTACTTAATCAACCATTGATCGTACTTTCATCTCATGGTTTTAACAACACACTATTGTTTAACAATGCATTTTCCGTTGTAATAAGCTATTGTGAGAAAATGTAGGATCAGTCTTAAACCTCATGCCTTACAGTCTTTTCACAGACCTTCTATTGCACGAAGACTTCAGCTTCCAAGACCATGTTTAAGTAGACCAAAGGCACAAAAGTCCATTGGAGCTGCACTAGGGGATTTGAAAAATATGTTCCATTTTTTTGGACCGTTTTTCTCAAAACACAACTGTAAATTTCGAGATGTTGCTGCAAGCTTGCTAAATTTTGGCTTGTGAAACCTGGTAAATTTCAAATCCTTGTTTATTATATTGTTATCAATACTAGGAAGTGTGCCTATCTTTATCATAATGGCTTTTTGGGTTTTAGAGTACCCTTTCGTAACCAGAATTTTCACCTTAGGCTTGAGGGCATTACTAGGAATTGGCTTAGGGTGTGATTTTAGAGCTTTTTGTTATTTCTAAACGCTTTACTGTGAGCGTTTTACTGTTTCCACGAAGAGCATTGAAAGGTCCCTCCAGGGACACGCTGCGTTCTTTGACTCTTTGTCATTTAGCAATCTAACTATATGAACATCTTCCCTCGAAAAGGGCTCCGGCCATGCGCCATATGATGGTGGCATGGCACTATCGAATGAACAATATACGGTCGGTGGCGCTACGGCTTGCATCTTCGATGAGATGCTATTGCAATAACTCCCCCTCCCAACCGTTACGGTGTTAAGCCCAATTAGTTTGTGGTGGGACAGTATTTTTGTAAGCCAAGCATTTTTAAACCGACTGGTCCAGTCGGCAATCATATAGGAAGAGCACGTTCGACGACGAGGATTGAAACTCGCGACCCTCAGATCCACCAGGCCATGTCAGGCAATTGCATTAATTAGTATATGTAAGTTGTTCTCATAAAATTTGATTAATACTGTGTAAAAAAAAAACGAAGAAAACCAATTATAACTGCAGACACACAGAACAAGGACAGATATTTAGAATCAGTAAATGTAGTGTGTAATAGATAACGACGACAAACGTGTAAAACAGAAAACCTAATGTATGTACATAAACAGTATATTCTTTTACAAAAAAAAAAACAAAATTTCAGAAACATTGTACCGTATATGTTATAGTCGCTAAACACATGGAGCAGAAAGAGCACTTCCCCACTTTTTCCAGTTAGTGTAAACGCACTGTGTTAGATTGAGTTAGCTTTTTTGTCCCCTTTTCCCGTTTTCCAATAAAGTTAGGCAGTCACAGTCTGTGTTGTATAGAAGAACAATAAATATTTAGAAATAGTAGATCGATTATACAATGAATATCCAACAAAAACTTTAGGAACAACATACCTCATTAATTTTGGAAGGCGTGCCGACCTTATCCATCTTTAGTATAGTTCGTAGTCGACGTTTCAAGCTGTTAATGTTAATGTAGGTGTTAGTGAAGGTTATCTCACCTTTCGGAATGAATCATTACTCACTAGGTAAAATTTCTTTTAAACGCTAAAAAAAAGGTATAAAAGCAGTAATTTTATTATACGTAAGTGTGTAGCAACAGTAAAATATCTTAGCATAAACAGCGTCAACAAATATTTAGAAACAGTTTACCAATAATTATTCTTAACTTTGTTTAACGCAAACTGTAATGTTTGTTTTTATTATACAAATAATACAACACGTAGCTCTAAATATTTCTTTTCATTGTTTAAATTGTTTTCTTTTTATACATTTTATATTATATGTAATCTATCTCCGCATGATTATCTTGGTAACGATAAATGGTTTTATAGAAAAAGAAGAAAAACACATGTAAAACTTTTCAACTGTATTATATAGATTAAAGAAGAACGCTGGGAAACAAGCTGCCCATTATTTCATAATAACTTAAATAAACATTTTATACCTTGTGCGTCAAATTGGTAGAAGTTAACATAACACATGTTGGCAAAAAGAGGAAATTGAAAAGTTATGTTCAAACAATAAATTTATTTCAATGTTTCGAGCAAACTTACATCTAAAACATAGTTTTCAGGAAAGTGTAGTTATCTGACGAAGAGTACTTGCCTAAAACGCCATGAAAAAGTTGTTGTTGCTTTTCTTATGCGGCGTTTTACAAAAAAAAAGAAAAAAAAAGATGAATTGAAGCTTTTCATCAAAGAAATAGTTCATCTATCTGTTATATTATATATATAACCAAAATAACAATTATAGATGGTTGGTCTATCATTTTTATACGAATAACAAATATTAACATTAAGATAATCACTTTTTTGTATTACATACGTGTGACAATGGGAAATATTTTGAGATTTACTGTATCATTTGTTTAACACAGACAAGTATTGAGGATAGTTGACAGATTATAATAAATGTATAACAAAAAACAAAGTTTAAAATAGTTGACAGATTATGTTTTAAGTATAACAAAGACAAACGTTCCAACATAGTTGACAGATTATGTTTTATGTATAACAAAGACAAACGTTCCAACATAGTTGACAGATTATATTTTATGTATAACAAAGACAAACGTTCCAACATAGTTGACAGATTATATTTTATGTATAACAAAGACAAACGTTCCAACATAGTTGACAGATTATGTTTTAAGTATAACAAAGACAAACGTTCCAACATAGTTGACAGATTATGTTTTATGTATAACAAAGACAAACGTTTCAACATAGTTGACAGATTATGTTGTATGTATCACAAATAGACTAAACAACTACTATGTCTGTTGTATCTCAGCCAGCCTGATGATCCCTGGTATTCAGCGAAAGGCCTCGTCAGCACCTGATATGGTAAATGTAATGTGGTTGACATAATATTACATATTATTATTTACGTTTACTCATTGGTTCTTAGAATTACTAATGCAGTTGCCACCTGCTGGCTTGGAGGTAAGTGTGAGGGCTTATCATGCTAAAAACTCTGGCACAGCACAGACAGCCCATTGTGTAGCTTTGTGGTTGTCAACAAACAAACAAACAAACTAACGTAGTTTTTCCTACTGACATTGTGGTTGTCAACAAACAAACAAACAAACTAAGGTAGTTTTTCCTGTTGACTTTGTGGTTGTCAACAAACAAACTAACTAACGTAGTTTTTTCCTGTTGACATTGTGGTTGTCAACAAACAAACAAACTAACGTAGTTTTTTTCCTCTTGAATTTGTGGTTGTCAACAAACTAACGTACTTTTTCCTGTTGACTTTGTGGTTGTCAACAAACAAACTAACTAACGTAGTTTTTTCCTGTTGACTTTGTGGTTGTCAATAAACAAACAAACTAACGTAGTTTTCCTGTTGACTTTGTGGTTGCTTGACTTGCTCCAGGAATAAGAAGATTAGCTTACTAGTTTGGTAGTTCTTCTGAATGATAGTATAGTTCGAGTTAAAGTAATAAACAATTAAGTGGTGTTGAAAATAAACAAATAATAATGTGTTATTGATCCTTACCATAAATTCTGATTTATAAATGATATAAATAAAATTAATAATTACACTTTATTTACTTAATCTAGTTCACATCATAACATTGTTGTTCATGCAACTGATGATATGAATAGCGCCTAAACCACAACCGTGTCTGTCATATCTCATCTGTCCTGATGAACCCGTTATTGGACAAAAGACCTCGTCGGTAGTCGATATAGCAGATTTTAGTGTAGTTGACATATTATTTGCTTTGACTCATTATATCTTAAAAAGACAAACGTCTAAGTACAACTGAAATAATATATGTATAACAAAGACGTTTAAAAATAGTTGACAGGTTATATTATGTGCATAAAATGTTACATGTAACTCACATATCATATAATTGACGGATTATGTTGTATGTGTAATAAAAATAAAAATTATTAACAGATTATATCTGCAAGAAAATAAACTTGTGGAAATAATTTCTTGAACTACAACAAACACCATAGAAACGTTTTACCTAATGCATTATTTGTAACGCTAAATTATTTAATTAAATGCAAAGAGTTATTTGACTAGTCTTTTAGAATCTTCGTAAAAGTTTAGCAAATGAGAAAATAACAAGTTTTCACTTTTCTGTAACTGTAATTTCTACTAATAAAAGTAGGGACTTCTTACATTAAAATGACGACAATACTATTTATAGAAAACGTCTGTTCTCCACAACTTTCTAAATTAAAACACTTATTATTTCTTCTGGTTCTACAAGAGAAGTTGGACAACGTAATTACTATGTAATGCAAATAAGATCTGTAATTGGAAATTTACTCAATCTTATTTATAAGTTGCATTATTCGATCAGATCTGAATCTAAACTGACAAGTCGGTATATTTTCAAATGACCAATCAGAATAAAAATGGGCGGGACCTTATGTGAAAATGGAGCTGATAGCTTGAGATTCTTCAATGTAGTTTTCAGTTAAGCTCCCGGCAATCATGTTCTAAATTTTGTTTGTCATGATCTTCCATCAGTGTTAATCTACTGATGAACAGTTTGAACATGGGAACAACACTAATTAAACTTCAAGAAAGGTTCACTTTCCTTCTAGACATAACTATACAGTGTTCTTGTATTCTGGCTCATAGGGTCATACTTTGACCTTTCCCTGGCGTCGAAACACTTATTTTCACTAATCTGCGCCTTTCATTTTCGTGACATATCCAAGGCCCTCCCTTATGGCTTGAATCAGCGAACCTACTAAACCCACGCATTCATCAAGCATGCGCAGTATATTGTTTTTTGCAGGTCCGCATTCCACAGTTGGGCCCCCGACCAACGGGTCGCCTAGCGCCCAAATTAATTTGCTCGGTGCAAACAGTGAGAGAGACAGGTTGGATCAAAGCACGATTCCGCAAAGCAAAGGAAACGTATGAAAACGTAATTAACTGCGATATGTAGACGTACCACATTTCATTGATTTTGTCATCTAAGAATGAGGCTTTTTATGTGGCGATGATAACGAACGAGGTGATTGAAAAGTGACCTGAAAAGAATTCATGTTGAGCTACCAGGTAAATTCACGTGAAGATGAAAAATACCAAGCATTTCAAGGACATCTCCGATTGGTGTTGATCAACTTTTGAGCAAGAAGAAAATTACGAAATATTATTGATATTACAATATAAATTTTTCCCTTAATTTCTCAGACGTTTTTGTCGAAATTTAGTCTTCACTCGTGACAAATTCGATAGTATTTCAAAAAGATAAAACATTATGTACAAACCAGTAAATTTAAATCGCTGTTTATTAGACCTACATCTACATATTGACGAAGATAGAACAGAATTTCTATCGTTTGTTGTTTTCTCCAAACGTTTTGTCTGGAGCCAACCATCACACTTAATATTGAAGTTTTGTAATTCTAGCAGTATCATTTATAAATTAGTAATTAAAGTAGCTTATTAGAAAAATATTAATCACTTTAAATATTTAACGAAAATTGACATTGTGAATAAAGAAGTATAAAATTTTCTAAAAAAACATGAAATGAAATAGACTGCCAATCAAAAATATGCATGGTAATATGTTACCTATGATGAACGGCACTTAAAATATTATCTTTAAAGTGTGAGCATACTTCATATTGATAATAGATACATAGAAGAATTATAAGTAAATGTCATATTGTAATAACTATAAACACTACTTGGCAGTATACGTATAAAGAACACGTGTTGTTGTTTTTTTTTTGTTTTTTAGTCGTAAGAAGTAACTTTATTACGTCTAATATTGCATTAATGTTTTAGATCAGTTGGTAGATCAGTCTAGGAGACACGACCATTAAAATTACCACAACAAAAATTAGGGCCCTACTAGTTGTTGTCTTAGGACCTCGAGATGAGGCCCGAGAACGGGTCTTGTTTGTAAGAGAGAAAGAATTTAGTAATTTTAATTGCTAAAAATTGGCCCAATAACAATTACTAGTGGGTTAATCCTTTATCGCAGTTGGTAGAGCACTCGCAAGGCGCGTGACATGTCTCGTGTTGGATAGCGAGTGGATGGAAGAAGAAAATATATTACCACTGATCTAACTATAGAGAAACTTATATTTCTCTATTTTAAGTATAAAGAAACATTCATGCTTTTGTATTAATACAAAGAAACATTCATGCTATTGTATTAACGTAAAAAAACGTTCACGATAATGGATTTATGTGGTTTGATTCAGGCGTTTTGTCACCATTCAAAAGACATGTTTGTCAAATATATAACAAATTATAACCCATTTATCATAGAAAGTAGGCCTAATAATTGTTTTAACCTTGCGTCTCTCTATCTACCCGACAAATCTATAATTTTCATCACATTAAAACTACACATTAAAGTCG